AAATCAGATTAAGAAGGAAAAATTCTTTCTTTTGTCATTTTTTCACGTCATTAACGTCGTCAAAAGGACAAAACATAACTTTTTCATCAAAGAAATTCTAAATTCACAGTTTGCATCTTAAGGTCGAGAATAAGCATCAGAGATCATTCGCTTTAAGATCTAATATCTTTGACTCCAAACTTGGTCAATGAAAGTAGTGGATAAAGAGAGAAGGAGAGTAAATGTAGCTCATACAGATAGAGAGAGAGAAAGAGAAAGAGAGGTAGAGAAGAGAGTGTATGAGAGTAGAACGAAGTGTTGTAGCATAGAAGAGAACGAGAAGCTAAAACATGAAATTAAGGATAATGATAAGACTAACGGAGACAAGAAATGTTTAAGTTTAAAGGACAAAAGACGCGAAGGCAATACAATTAGTTGTAGCGAAACTTCCAATTTGCCATATTTAATTATATGATATAGCTAATGGTTATTAAGTGTTAAGAATTCTGAAATACAGAAAGGAATGTGTTCTTGAGGGCTGAAAAGAGCAAGAAACCAATTCAGTTGAATGAGAAAGAGAGAGAGAGAGACAGACAGAACTGAAAATACACGGGGTTTAAGCATTAAGGAGAAAGCTCGTTAACCAGGAGAATATAATATTTAAAAGGCCAAAACATTCTCATTCTTCATTAGGTTACAGCTTTGAGTGTAATGCATGTCCTTGCTATCTGATTCGAGAAAGTTAGAAAAAGCTCATGAAGTAGAAGTGGAAGAAGAAGATAACATAGGTGGAGATAGAAGGAAGCTGGTTGAATGTGGAGCTTCTCTTTAGCCTTGTTAACACTTTTAAGAAATTTTTCCTTTGCTTAGCCGAAATCCAGAAATCAAAATATTATTTGAGAGAGAGAGGGAGAGATAAGGATATCTTCATATTAGAGGCTTCTATAACCATTTAAGTGGGACCTGATGAGGATTAGAGAAATTGGCTTCGGACAATCAATTTTTTTTTTGCTTCATTTCTAATTTGAAACTCAAAATTGAATATTAGATGAAAAGCAAAACAGATTGTGAGAAATCGTCGAGAATGAAGCAAAGAATGTCCAAAACGAACATGCTCTGACATAATTCTCCGCTGCCTAGGCAACATCCATCAATTGACCATTCAAATAAAAATGTAATTATAAATATAAAAAAATGCACTACAACCGTTCGTGGCGAAGACATTCGAGCAAAATGCAGAAGGAGAGAGAGAGAGAGAGAAAGAGAGAGATAGAGGGAAAGGGATAAAATAGCGTGAACGGATGTTGTCATCTGTAGTCTTCTTGCCACGTGAGATCTCACGTGAGAAAGTTGTTTTTAGAAATTAAAAATGGTTTAAAAAGATGGAGACAGATGATGATAGGAATAAAAAAATAAAAAATAGAAAAATTTAATGAAAAAATGATGTTTGCCCGTGATTTGAACTTATTTTTATATTTCTTCTTTCAGTAATGAATGAATGGAATTGGCAGGAACAGCTGTAAAGGTCATAGGACAAACTTTCCGAGAGTAAGAGGGAGAAGCATAGAGAGAGAGAGAGAGAGAGAGGAAGGAAAGGGAATATATGGATTGGATAAAGTGATAAAGATTATACGTTTTTTGATATAATATCTGCAGATGAATAATATCCGTTTTGTAGCCGACAAACTATTGTAAATGATTCGAAAGGCAGGCAGCTTCGAAAATATAAATTGCCCCCAGGGAGTTGTGTTAACAGTCACATAGGAACGAGTGATGAAGTAAAAAACTAAAAATTGATATAATTTGCTCAACAAAGTTCTATTTGCCACACAAAACACGTTCGATAGTATGCTTATGTGACTGTTCCAGCAGTATAGGGGAAAGAACATGTATCGTTAGTTACATGGTCTGGATGAGATGAGGTAAGGAGAGCTTTGAATCAAGAAGTAGCGTCTTCCACAAACAGATTGATTTATCCTATAATCTACTAAACTATTAATGAAGACGAATACATTATCATTCATATTTGAAAATAAGGAGTAATTGAAGAAGAGAAATTTGTAAGTTATAGGGAGAAGCTTCATAATGTCGTATTTACGCGCTCTCCTGGTCAGAAGCTAGTTTCAGTGACTTCCGTTCCATTAACAAATCAACTGAGAGAGAAAGAGAGAGGTAGAGAGAGAAAAAGACATGAAGAGATGAATTTTTTTAAAAACAATCTCGCATGAAAGATTAAAATATTAGATTTTTTTTTCTTTAAGCAAGAGAAGAGTAGCCGAAGTTGGGATGAATGAGAGAGTAGTTTAAGAGAGTTCGTGTTTGCCTTCCGTATGCAACATAGGTTAGCTTAATCTTGAAAAAATTATTTTGAACTGCATGAGAAAACAAATAAAATTGGATAGACGTTCCACAAGGACATTTGATCGCACATTCCAGTGCCTTAGTACTGAATTTCCATATTGGATGAAGAATAAAGACATTGAGAGGAAAGGGTAGAGTGAAGGAAGATAGTAGAGAAAGGAACGGATAGAGAAGGCTGGCAAGGGGAGTAGAGATCCCAAAGAGAGAGCCAAAAAAGAAGACATAGAGCTTGTGCATGTCACTCAAGCCAATACTCTCTCGTTTTTTTGTTCATAAATAATTATACAAAAAATGAGTTAAAAAGATTTATGCTCATTGAATGAACTTTCTCTTTTTCAGCTATTTATAGATGCTTGATTGTTTCCATAGGCTGAATGATGTTTTTGCAAGTGAAAAATAGATAAATAACCTGATCAATGACGTGCATAACGTGAGAGAGGGGAGAGAGGGAGGGAGGGAGAGAGAGATTGAAGATGTCAGAAAAGGAAATCTCAACTGTTCACTCAATGAATTATTTCAGACATCTGGCAAAGTTTGTAATTTAAACAGAAAATAAAAGGCAACTTTTCAGACTTTTTTTTATTATGAATAGAAATAGACTTGAAGTATCAGCTGATTGACCATAGACGGAATGCAATGGTTGCCGAAATGAATTGATAAAAGGATATATGAGGAAGATATAAAAGAGCAGATCAAAGAGCAACTACAACTCGGTTGCGAACATACATTCGGTGCTTATTTCCTATGAAAAATAAAAAGAAATTATAGAGCGTATGGTCAAATGATCCCAACGATACATACTCTTAGTCTCTCGTGCTCGTCTTTCTCTCTCTCTATCACTCACACCTCTCTATTCACTCTCAAACTCTACTTCTACCTTACGAATTTTATAAAAAGGTTTTAAACTACGCTTAAAGGTATGATGCTACATGACGTGAACTTATTCAAATAAAGGATCTGATTACCTCCATTCATGAAAGCCTTCAATTTGCAGCTGCAGATCGGCCAAATTTCGAGATTCAACGAAATTGCATGTAAATATCTCCATTTGGTAAAAAGGACTATTCGGATAGATGAAGACAGTCCACAATACACATGAACAAGAGCAATAGAGCAAAGACAACGTTTTCACTTGGCAATCTCATAAAATATGAAATGCGAGAATGAGAATGGAAAGATTTTATACTCAAAAGTGTTTTTCAATTTTTTTGAAATAATAAAGTTAACCATAAAAGGCCATGAAGCTTGAAGCATATAGTGAAAAATCAGATGAGAAAAGATGTACAGCCTGGCAGTACGGAATTCATAGCATAAAATCTTTCATACTCACTTGCCCCTAGTAGCTGTAATCCAATCCAATCTAACAGAAACCAAACAAAGATATTTTCTGAATTTCATTCGAGAGAGAGAAAAAGATTTAAAGAACCTTTTTCCAGGTTTCCTATAGTTCCAACACGAAACAAACAGAATGAGATGATAACTAACTATTCAATAGATTTCTCCGGAATCTTGGGATTACATCCAGCTTTAGAGCTTACTCTCTTACATCCATCCAAACACTTTCATATGACAGAGAATAATGACATCATATTCCATTTTCAGTATTCATTCATAATTAGCAGTTGTGCGATCACATGCAATTAGAAAAACATTATTATCGAATTTGAGTTTTTTATTCCTTTCCACCTGCTCTTGATTCAATTAGCACGATCCTCCCTCCAATCACACACCAGGGTTCGAAGCCCGACCATCAGAATAAGGGGTCATCGTGACTGCTCTTATCCACCAAGACAGTTGATCGTTAAACTATCAATGGTCTCTCGGAAGTCTATCAAGTTATTTGTTCTGTTATCGCATGCTCTAATCATTTATTTATTGAAAAAGTGAAAAGCTGATCTTGACTGAAAGAGATCAGTATATGTGCTCTTCTATCAAACCAGATAATCCCTTTCGTGTTAGCACAGATGCTCGTGCATGGACAAAACGAGTGACGATTTTTCTAAAATGGACATCACATGAACATCTCGGAACTGTTGCCAGATTTCTCATGTATCAAAACTAAGCAGGAAACATAAATAACTTGAAGTTTACTTCCATCAGGTAACAGAATACAGATAAAATCAGTTTTTAATCAGAGGAAAAAGTTTTATTGCGAAAACTACAAACTACCTCCAATTGGGATGACCAACATGAAGGAAGCAGGCCATGACATAAAGATAACTATTGAGTCATACATTGAATCACACTAACTGCCCATGTCGCAAAAATCGTTCCTGTATATGTATCTGAAAGGCTTTCCTATGCGAATCATAGAGAAAAGCATCCTAAACTACTTCAGTTTACAAAAACATTTCTTGGCTTGGGGTATTATCGAAGAATAAACGCTAACAGCGAGAAGAAAATGTATATGTCATTCTTCATCATTTCCTCATTTACAGGCCGCATCAGTATTGCAGCGGAATAGAAGCTCAGAGATCAGTTTAGAAAAACAATAACCAATAGAAGGAATCTAGAATGGTAGCTGTTGAACTGTCTTTCCTTTTTTTTAGTCGACTGAACACAAAGCTCTGTGCAAGTACAGTATGAACGTATGTTTACGTACATGATTTGATATATGGACTCACTATTAACAGTACGGGTGTTTTGTTTAATCTGGTTCAATGAAGCAGGAAATCATAACCGACTCTGATCAGTTAGAACGTGAGTTTTTTAATTGAAACGTTAATGATGAAAAGTTTTCAGAAACACAGCCTCCAGTATGTACCGAAAAGAAGGAAACCGAAGAAACTTCTGACTTGTTTTCGTCATTACCTAACTGTAAGTTCCGTCATTAGTTCAAAAGTACATCTTATTTCAAGCATTTTTGGGTGATCGGGAGAACTCAACAGTCTGTGCTCCTTACGAACCTCGTGAAGATGGGACCTTCTATGCTACTACCAGGTTCTTATATGAGTCCATACGTGAGTCGAGATTCTAGCCTATTTAGATTCACAATACTGTTTCAGTAAATGAAAATGAACCGCAAGAAGTGAACAATGGTGAGGTGTGAGAATATGTTGAAAGTGTTTATAGGCGTTTATTTAGAGAATGAGGCACCACGGGAACTATCCGCTGACACGGATACCTTATTCAGCAAGTTTGATAGTCGTAAGTGTAAGAGATGAGCTTGTCTTAATGATAATGAAAGTACCCAGCAGTTCAAACTGTACGTTCGATGTTCCCCGTGAATCATCAATGGAACAGAATGCAGGTTATACAACGTTTCAAATAAAATGGCAATAAATGTAAATTCTAGATAAAAACCCATTGCCAGCAAAAAGGAGATGTGTAGTTACTTCGGAGACAGCTCCTGACGTTCCTCCAGATGCCGGAGAAAGCCAAACACTTGTAAATGATCATTCCAATACACCTCGTAGTTTTCGAATGAATGAGATAACAAATATCTTCGATGATTTCAGCTCCACCGCCACCTGCGGATTACCCAGCACCTCGGTTATCATTGAATAGAAGATTTTCCAAACTGTATGAAAATAATGAGGTGCGAAGCGAAGACGTCAAATATTCACTATTTAGCTTACAGAATCACATTGATGTTTCCTCCTTCAAACTGCCCAGGATTCTAACTATACGGCAAGAACATGATCTGTTATCGGCCGTCTGGGATGTGTTATACAAATGATATTGTCTCGTTCTCAGTAATTTGTTTATTAACTTGCCACGTGGTTTCCACGCTGAATACACGAGAGTTCAACCTAACCTATATGAAATCATTTCGAAGTGATTCAAGACACAATGCGGTTGTAGTTGCTAGTCATATAATTATACTTGTCAGATTAAGAAGATTAGTTTTGTTAGTCATTGAAATAAAATTGAAGATAAAAGTTTTTTACTTTTTGTTCTTGGGTGTGTTCATCATGAAGCATAAGATGATTTCATTTTCCAAAGTTAATTTATGATATGGCACGAAAGATGGTAACAAACTGTAAGACAACCAATATGCTTGTCATCAGGGAAATATCAAGTGAAAAAGGAGAAAAACATAGGAAGAAGGATGAATAGCCTGTACTTAAGAACTTTTGTTTTGTTTATGATTTCTAAAAAAAGGGTTCAGAAGATACTGAAGTCTTTATTTTCAGAACTGTTAAGCATTTATCATTAAAGTCCTACAATGATTTATCATGTTAATTGATAAGAAAGTTGAGTGTATAAAGAAGAATATATAAAAGTTTGATAAGGCTTCTCACTTGGTCTGTTTCCACGTCTAAGATGAGCAAGCTCATCATTCTCTCCACAGGTGGGTTCATTTGCGAACCAAGTTGTTTTAAGTATTTCATTTTGTTACAGTTCTAATTGTGGCAGCAGTCGCTGTTGCTATAGCATCATTGGTGTTGAATATTGTTATTTTAACAAATACTAACTCTATCATAAACACTACGCCCTCTGATGTTGTTCATGAGTTCATTACTTACAAGACTTATTGTAATGCTCCAGATTGTAAAGTCTCGAACGCAAGTGGATGGCAGGTAAATTGCATTTTGTATCATAAAATAGGTGTCAATATGTGTTTAACGCAGCAGTGACATCACAAAATTTGAGATTAATCTGATAACACAATTCTTAAGCTTTTCCTTCATTTGCTTCTAAACTTCTACTCAAATCCGCTTAATTGTATAATGTACAATCTTGCAGGAGGCCGGGCAAAGGTTGCTCCAAGGACTTGATATGAATATTGATCCTTGCGAAGATTTTTACGCTTTCACATGTAACAAGTATCTCGGACAAATTGATTTGAAGGCTTTGGGTGTTTCGAGAAAAGGAACTTATGCAGATTCGCAGATCAACGTTAACGCACAAATTGCTTCCGCTCTCTCAAAAGTTAACGCCAAGTCTTCTTTAACAGAAAGAATCACTCAAACGGTATGTACAAGCTCTTATTCTCTATCTTCCCAATGATGTGATTTGTTCCTGTCTGAGAAAATTCTCATTTTGTGTTTTCAGGCTCTCAATTCCTGTGTCAAAGCAGCCAATAGCGATCTTCCAAACCTCAATAAGAGAATCGGTGAAGATATTCGTAAGATGTGAGTTTTCATACCTTGATTATTCATATATCTCAAATCTTGAAGATTTACTGGTATTCCTTTCCTCAACGAGAAGCTCGGAAAGGATTTGAACTTATTCTCCGCTGCTGGAAAAATCGAACAACAACATGCTTTGGGAACTTTGTTCTTCTCTTGGTCAACTGTTGATTATAAGAACATTTCTCAGAACGCTCTCTATATTTCACAAGTATTACATAATTTTATTTTTCTTATGCATTCCGTTTGTTCTTCCAGCCTTCTCTCTCTCTTCCCTTGGATTACTATGTGAAGCCACAGTTCATGGATAAGTTGACTGCTCGCAAAGACAGCATTTTATCCACAATGAAACAGTTTGCCATTGATTCCCAAGTAAAGGCTAATCTCAACCTCGAAGATGTAAGTAGTCCTCTTGTATGTAATGAAGAAACGTTTCATGTTTAGGCTGCCGAGAAAGTTACTCAATTTGAGGTTCTCATTGCTTTGGCTTCCTGGCCCGATGATTTGTTGAGGTACAGATAGAGTTACAAACGGAAACATATCATATACTCCTAGAAACTACCGTTTGCAATACAACAAATTCTTCTTGAAGACTCTTAACACTTCATACCCAAGTGTTGATTGGCTTGCTTACATGTCTGGTCTTCTTAACGGAGTTCAAAACGCTGCCCAAATCGCTACTGATGGAGTAAGATATATACATATATAGTTGAAGACATTGTGCCAATTGTTTCAGGTTGTTCTATCTCAACCATCTTACTTCTCTTGGCTTGAGTCTGTTTTCGCCGGAAACTTGGTTGATAAAGAGACAATCTCCAATTACATGATTGTCAATTGGCTAATGGTATTGAAGTGTTTTCGAGTATTGTATGATTGTTTACCCTAATCAGGATGATGCTGGTTTCTGGGGCCCAATGCAGAAGGTTGTTCGTGAGGCCAACTATGTTCCATATGTTTACCGCAAAGGAAATGGCGCCAGAAAGTAAGAGAAGAAATCATTAGAGACAATCATGTTTTTTTTCAGAATCGGAAGACGTTACGAACGCCGTTTCGATAACGATGGTGTTAGTAATGTCTGTTTAGATCTTATTATGGCTTATATGCCTTATGGACCCGGTAAGCGCAATCTTTCAAAATCAGAAAGTTAATTGCTTTTCTTATAGGATACGTATATGTTCAAAGCATCGACAACCGCAAAGCAATGGTTGCTGATGTCACTCGCCAAACCACCATGATTATCGATGCCTTCAAGGTAATATAAAAGCCACAGTAATTACCTTCAAAATGTGACCTGCAGGGTATGATCAAAAGTCTCGCTTGGATGACTTCAACAGCTAAGCAGAACGCTTTCGACAAAGGTTAGTGCTCAACTTCATTCCCTAACATTCGAACTTGCCTTTAAGCTGCCAATCTATTCAAGAACTACGGATACCCCAGCGCCAACTTCCTTGATTTCGACAATATTACTAAAGTTGATGCCTATCATCAAGTATGTGATGTTAACATGAAACCAACAGAAATATTCTGTTTTAGGATTACGTTGATATTCTCAAGTATGGTGAAAATGACTTCTATGATATTCTTCTTGTTCTCAAGAGAGGTATGGAAGTTCGTGAAGCATTCAGACTTCTTTCTGAACCCGCCAATCGGTATTGGTTATCTCTCATTCGTTTAAAAAACTTCAATCTATCTCCAGTTACAACTTCTTACAATCCCCTGCCATGGTTAATGCTTGGTATCAACCTGAACGCAACTCTATCACCTTCCCAATCGCTGCTTGGAACCCACCATATTATAGCTTGAATTATCCTCAAGCTTATAACTTCGCTGGACAAGGAGGAACTGGAGGACACGAACTTACTCATGGTTACGATGATGAAGGTATGATATTGTTATCGAAACAAGTTAAAGCTTATTTTTTAAGGTGTTCAATTCGGGCCAACTGGAGCTCTTATGCCATGCTCATGGAACAGATGTGGATGGATGGATGATCAATCATCTGATGGTTTCACTGATATGGCTCAATGTGTTGTCTCACAATTCAAGTAAGTTTATTGTTTAAGGCTTAATCGCTTTCGCCTTCTGGTAGGTTAGTAATAATACAATCTTCAGTACCCAATGCTGCCCTGTCCAAACTGGTAATGTTCACTGTGTTGATGGTTCTACTACCCAAGGAGAAAACATTGCTGATCTCGGAGGTTTGTTTCTTGTTATTAGACTTTGGTTTAGAATCTCTTTATAGGTCAACAAGCTGCTTATTACGCCTACATGCAATACATTTCTGAGGTTAACAAGGGAGTTGTAGAAAACAGGTAAAGATCATTGGATATAGCAATATTGAAATGTATGTTCTTCAGAATTCCCGGTATGGAGCAGTTCAGTCCAAATCAAATCTTCTGGATAACCTACGGTTACTCATGGTGTATGAAGCAGACTACAGAAAGCCTTGTCAACCAGGTACAGAAAACTTTAATTGATTTTCAAGGAATTCTTTATTTTCAGCTTTTAACTAATCCTCATTCTCCTGCTCAATGCAGAACAAACCAAGTGATGCAAGATATTCCAGCATTCGGCAGCGTAAGTGGTTCAGTGTTAGAAGCTAGTGTATACTTTCATTGTTCAGGATTTCAACTGTAGAAGAGGATCTCCTATGTATCCTACTGATGATAAAAGATGTAAGGTGTGGGTTGGCTTCTAAACATAAACAGGGTCTTGTGTGATATCATTTCAATAGTTTGATAACTTTTATTAACGACTGCTGACATATAATTGTCAATAAATATTAATAATTACTAATAACAAGTGATGAAGCCTCTTTCAAATCTTTTTTAAAACAATGTTTTGATCAGCTGTAGGTATACAGTTCATGTGAACATGCTGATTAATGAGCACCAAAGGATAGCTTTCCAGCCAATAATTGGAGAAACGCTCTCGCCCTAGCGTAGATTCACTAACTGTTCTCGGGAAAGAAGTTAGAGCAGTTCAACGATGATGCTCATCCTAGTTTGGTTCGGAGTTCAAAGTATAGAAATGGTTCCTCAATAGTATTGAAATAAAGGATTTGATTGGAATGCCAACACACCCCATATACTGAAGTTTTTCCTGAGCAAATATACATTCAAGGTCAGAATTATAATCCTTTCAGAAAACGTGAAAAACAAAAAGAGGGAAAAGGAAAGAAAAAAATTCAGCTTTTATTTGCTCGTATCTTTACAATTAGCCAATTTCCAAGGTCTAAATAGGGAAAATAGAAACTGGGTTTGTTAGGAACTATTAGATGAAGGTTGCAAAATACTGAGAAAGTATGACACATATGTATAAAAGTATTTATAATATTGAAACAGATATACACAATGTGATGTTGTAGATTTGGTAAGCGAAGAGTTCAAAAGACGTTTTTGTCTACAAATCTCTTGTGGCTAATTGTTCTGACACAATTCCTTCAACATACAAAGAGACCGTTTTAGCATAGAAGATGACAAACCGTTTACTATTTTGAGTTTCCTGTTTCGAAGCAAGTAAGCAAGAAGAGAAAAGAAAAAGAAGTTAAGAAAGTTTCAAATGTATAGTACAAATAGGCTTTTCGTCAGCTCAGCATTCTACTCACGAGAAATGCTGCCCTTGGCAGATTTCAACCATAATAGACAGTGTCAGCATGTTGCGATGAGAGTCTTTTCACTATTCCGTTTTTCCTTGAAGATTATCTGTATCCAGTTTGTAGAAATAATTCTAAAATCCGTTTCCGATGTTATGATTGAAAAAGTTTTTCTTTGTGATCTCATAATTATCCACTCTCTTTTACAGAAATTGAAGAAGTGGCTGAAACTGAAGAAGAGATAAATAACGAAACTGTAAATTTGAATGGAATCTACTGTGAGAGTGAAAAGTATTCCATAACCGGTCATGCTTCCTCAAGTTTTCGGCTACTATATAAATACATAATGTAATTCATCCTAACCTCAGTCATCTTTCATCTCTTGCAACAGAAATGGACAAAATTATTTCAATTCTGTTTGTGAGTTACATTCAAACTGCTACTCTTTTACAACTTTTCTACATCAGATTGTAATCGTTCCTGTTTGTTCACAGTACGTTATGGGTCCGAGCTTTGGAGGTGGTTGTGGATGTCCGCAGCCGATGTGTGCTCCAAGACCAATGTGTGCTCCTCCACCAATGCCTATATGTCCACCACCTCCCCCTTGTCCTCCTCAGTTTGTTTGATCTCTAAGAAAAGCATTTAATTAATTAATTCAGATTTTGTCCCCCTCCTCCTATTTGTCCACCACCTCCGCCTCCTATTCAATGTCCTCCACCTCTACCTCCTCCACCTCCGCCACCACCACCACCATGTGCCTGCTCTCAAGCTCCACAACCAATGTTTTATCAGCCACAACCCATGTATACACCCTATGTTGGTGGTTGTGGAGGTGCAGCCATGATGCCTCGTTTACCAGCACAAGTATGTTTGGAAGATTCTAATGAGATTTAAATGATTCACTCATAGAACGACTGCTGTTGCGGATGTTCTTCCCCATGTAGATATAAGAGTAGAAGGAGGGCTGCCGCATTCGGATCAAAAACAGTAGACCCATCTTGTAACAGTTCTCAACTAAAGCAAATAATAGAAGATGTATAACGAGTGCTTACTTAGTTTTTATATTTCATCATCGTTTCAGAACATCCTACCTGATGCTAGTGAATCCAAACGAGCTATTCAGACCATAGCTGAAGCCCAATTAGGACATATGGTTAATGTTATATGTGGAAAAGGAGAATTCAGTTACTTGGCTCATACTGAACAGTTTTGTCAACAAAGCAAAGATGATGTTACTTGTTACGTTTTCAAGCCTTTATAAATTGGCTAAGGAATATAAGGCGTTCTTTCGATTCTCACTCTCTTAGTTTCCGTGTCATTATACTGATCAATGAAGTTTAATAATTTTTTATTTTATTTGGTTTTTTTGGTAATGATTTTCACGTGGACTGCTTCACGTGTTCACGTAAGATCATCAAAGTCATTTTGGTCGGAATTG